AAAGAGCTGTCTTCTACACTGTTGGTCACCAATTTATATCTACACTTTCTCAGCAAGTTCCTCGACTTCCCTAAATCCTTGTTTTCCAATGTAGAAAAATAAATCATGCTGGTTGTTAAGCCATGGGGAAATTTTCACAATTTACAACTCAATGACCTAAGGGAATGTACCAAAAAGTATTTCTTGGGTAAGAAATAAATATTGTAGTTGAACTGATTAGATGTGTCCAATTTGATTAAAAATAATAAAATCATTGATTTCTAATGCAAGACAGTTTCACCAAGAGCCTTTTAGTATTCTCTCCAGGATTTATTGTCTTAATTACCTTTCAAACAGGTAGATTTAAAGGATGCTCAGGCCCAGGTATTTGAACTAGAACACAGTTGTTATTTTTGTTTTTAATCAGATCATCCTATACATGTCACCATCAAAATTATGAGGCGTCATGGAAATAAACATTAACAGCTAAATAAAGAGTTCTTATCTTAATTTGTTTTAAAAAACAGTATCCATTATTTTCCCTAACTTGATTTATAACTGTGGAATTTCTTTTTGGCCATGGGTCTCAGACATTGTTCTGATTAGCTTCGCTTATTTAAGCAAGTTGCAATGATTAGTAGCCATGATCATCCAGTCCTTTTCTTTTTCATGGTGTAACTTTTTTCTTTACTCCCTGTCCTTTGTCTCCAGCCCCAGAAGATATGTGATGCGGTCACCATCTGTAGAACAATATTCCCTCATATTATGCATTATGATGTCTTCCTAGATTGCATTCCCAGATTGAATAGTTCCAGGTCTGCGCCATAGACTCCCCCATCTACCTTACAGATGGCAAACCGAGGAATGACTGGATTTCTCACACAGCTCAGAGAGCTCTCAGATTCCTGTCAACGCCAGTATTTTTGGTTGCATTTTAAAAAGTCACAAATTTCATTAAATGGTTCTTATTTGTAGCATGAAATAGGTGAGACTGTTTCTGTCCCTGTAATCTAAGGCTTAGTTCTATCAAGAGTTTAGAGAAGTTATTGGAGGATGGATAGGAAGGTAGTCAACACTGATCTCTTTGAAAGAACACATTGAAGATTCCTCCCTAAATATCAGCACTCACAAAAAACCCACTTGAAGATGTAGTATGCTTACCAACCTACTCCCTCATGCCCCACCAGACACAACTGATTAACATCCATCCCTCTTGAGGCAAGTGACCCGTTAGCAAATTAAGGGATTGACTGCAGTGTGACCAGGCCTATACTAAGGGGCGCTGGACATCTTCGTGCTTAGAAAAGTCACTGAGCTGTAGCAGGGAGGAAGAGGTCCTTGAAATGGTGGAACTTGAGCTTGTCTTGAAGAGACCTTCGAGAAGTAGATAGAAAGGAAAGGAGATCAAACTTTCCAAGAGGCATGAGTAGGTTTGGCCTGGGTGAGGAGCCACATGGAGGCTTGCTGGCTGAACACAGAGCATGTGTTAGAGCTTGCAGAAGCTGGAAACACAGAGTGACCCATCAGAGTGACTACAAGATGTCCAAGAGGGAGGAGTTATGTGTATGGCTTTAGGTAAGCTACTTAAATTCTCTGAACTTTGGGGGCATTATTTGTAATTTGAAGACAAGCCAGTATCTACCCCAGAGGGTAACTATTGGGTTCAAGCGAGATCATTGGGTAGAAATTGTTTGTAAAGGTGAGGTATTATGTGTTGATGGATGACTGTGGTGGCAAAGTGGTGTTGGGTGATTATAGAACCACAGCGTTTTGTGCTAGAAGTAACCAAGAGCTGGTCTAACCTGTCACATTTTTTTTTTTTTTTTTTTGTGAGGAGATCAGCCCTGTGCTAACATCCACCAATCCTCCTCTTTTTTTGCTGAGGAAGACGGCCCTGGGCTAACATCCGTGCCCATCTTCCTCCACTTTATATGGGACGCCGCCACAGCATGGCTTGCCAAGCAGCGTGTCGGTGCGCACCCGGGATCCGAACCAGCGAACCCCGGGCCGCCGCAGTGGAGCGCGCGCACTTAACCGCTTGCGCCACCGGGCTGGCCCCATAACCTGTCACATTTTATCAATAAGGAGATAAGCCAGATCTAAGGTGACTTACCTAAGCTAGTTAATAGCACAGCAGAAACTAGAACCCCAGTCTTTTGTGTTGAGGAGAATAAAAATTGCAAGTCCAAGTCCACTCCCATCTAACTGAATTTCCCATCTTGCATCAGTTCAATCTGGTGAGTTTAGTGACAAGCATGCGGCCTGACCCGACTTGACACTGGAGCACCTCTCAGGCGCTGTGGTGTAGCCTGAAGTCAAAGCAGCGGTTCTGACTCCCAGCGTCATACTGGAGATCACATTCCACCTCACAAATATTTAAGCAAGAGTGTAAGGGCAAGTTGCCAGGTAGCACAACATAAAACAAATGTCTCATTGAGTTTGTCGCTGCCCAGTTTGTGGTTTGTGAGATCCAAAATCCATCCAGTGACTGTGACTGGAATGTGACAGTAATTCATAACAACAGTAACGGTTTTTTTTTTTTTGGTCTACTGTTGTGACATGCTCCAAAATCCTGAGAAAGGGCTGTAAAAGAACTGTTCAGAAATGTTCTAAACGGGTTTAGAAAACTTGTGAACCCTGTCTGAACTTTTGTTAGATTCCCCCACCACTCACCCGTTTGACATCAGGACAAGGAAAGCATTATTTATAACAGCATGTGTGAAATCCCAGACGGGATTCTTGAAAGAATTAAAGTGAAAAATCTGTCCAAAGAGACTGCAAGCATAAAATAAATGATCAGGTGGGAAAACATGTAAATCAAAATTTGAATCTTTTTTCTCCTTTAAACAAAACAGGAGCTTTTTCTTTGGCCATTAGCAACACAGGACAAACAACTTGGCAGAGTAGGTATGGCAATCAGAGGAGCCTCAAGCCCTTGTCACTGCAGAGTGTTGAGTCTGGGAGAGTCTCGTGTGTTGCCTGTCCTTAACGTCCCCAGAATGGCTGCTTCTCATTGAGAAAATAAGATAGTAAAGGCTATAGAGAAGGAAGTAACACCTTGAAAGCATTTAGTGCATTAAAATTTAGAAAGCACTTTTGCAAATATTGTCTGCTTGGGTATTTCCCTCACGATAACCCTGGGAGGTGTTTATTGGTACCCACATCTTATAGTTGGAGACACTAGGACATAGAGAGGGTTGTCCAAGATTACCCAGCTAGGAAATAGCGCACTGGAGAGTGCACCGGAACCCGGAGTTTCCAATGGCATGAATCGAGTGTTGTCTGCTGCACACCAGCTGGGAATGCACAAGGAATATGGAAAGCCTGGGCTCTCGCTAGGTTAACACACCCCAGAGTGTGTTTTTAGCTGTCAGGTTCTAGGAGATGCATGTAAGTGGTTCTCTGTCTCTGTCCCTCTCCCCCACAAACACATTTCAAATTAGTTTGCCATCAGCATCCTTTCTGGCTGGTGAGTGCCTCTGTCACATGGCCTGTGTTTTGAATACCAACCTTGATGGTGAGTATGGTCATCACCTTCAGGCAGGCCCAGGCAGCTCCATGAGGGAAATCTGTGCTCACTGAACAGTGACTACCTGTCACTGTGGGGTGAGAAGCAAGTGAGGAAATCGAAAGCTGATGGAAGGCAACTAGCCTCTACTTAGTGTACGAGCTTTTGGTATATTTGAAGCTGACCAGAAAAGATATGGGGGCACCCTAACCCTGAGCCAGCAAGCTGTGTCTCTACCTGTCAGATTTGGAGTCATCATGCAGAGAAGAATAGGAAAAAAAGCCCGCCCCTTTTATCCCCATGCTGTCTTTGATGCTAAGAGCATCATTTGAAATCACCAAGCACATTAGACATCTCTGACACTCTCCGCTCCGTGGGCTCTGGAGTTGAGCAGCATTTTTCAGGCACTCGTAGTCCATTTCCTTCCTTTAATGAGTCAGAAATTGATATTGAGATTTATAATTGGGCAGAAATTCTACGTGGCGTTAGTCTCAGGACACAGGGGCTGACAGTCGTCATCACTGAGGTCTCACTCCTGCCGTGAGCTCACATGCTGCCCAGGGTCAGGCATGGCCTTCAGGCTGGCAGTGCTGGGTTCACCAGCATGGGAAGTGAGACCCACCACCCATAGGACTACTGTGCAGAAATCTGATCATGGTGTTAAAATCAGACAGTCTTGTTGGGCTACAAATCTGAAAATGGAATTTGTAACCTTTCTCCAGGAATCAGGAAGTCATAAACAAGTCTCCTTTGTCAAACAAAGTCCTCTCTGCCTGTGATGATACTCTTGCCATCCAATGCCTCAGCTCTGGTGTTTTTACTAAAATGAGCTTTTCAGAAGTCGTACTTATTTATTTGTTTTTGAAAATAAGCCCAGTTGCAGTGGCCTGCAGTAGAGGAAAGTCCTGAGCTCTGAGTCCAAAGACCTGACTTTGTGTCCATAGCAACCTGAACCTCAGTTGTCTCATCTGTAAAATGGGAATAATTTCTGCCCTGCCCATCACTGGATTGCGGCGAGGGTGTTCGAAGCAGCACTGTGCCTCAACCTCACACCTTAAAGCAGAAGGAAGCTCTGGCCTTGCTAGGAAGTAGAGTCACTTGGTGGGCCATTTTGGATGCAGAGCCCATTACTTGTCATCCTGGTCAAAGTTATCTTGTTAATGAGAAGACTGGGTCATCCTCACACCAGAAAGTTCATGTGTGTTTTTTTCATCCAAGATGAACATCCACCCAATCGTCATCTCTGCTCCTGTCTAGTTTCAAGAAAGAGAGAACTGCAAATACCTGTAATGTGAAAAAAATATTTTGACCATTCTTTGCCCTCTATCTCTGTTGCTTGAGATTGTAAAGAAATCATATTTCCCTTAAGTGTTTATAACCAATTAAAATTAATAAATACAAATAAAGGAAAGGAAAAAATGTCCCCTACATCTCTCTTCCACACTTTTTTCCCTGAGGGTGGGAACTTGGTTTTGGGGTGACTGACGCCTCCTTGTTGCCCCTTTTTCGCCAGGTTGGTGGCCACACGATGCTGCCCATTCGCTGGATGCCTCCAGAGAGCATCATGTACAGGAAGTTCACCACCGAAAGTGACGTCTGGAGCCTGGGGGTGGTGTTGTGGGAGATCTTCACATACGGCAAACAGCCCTGGTACCAGCTGTCCAACAATGAGGTACGCAGTGGGCCGGCAAGATGCCTCCAAAGGCCGAAGCCGAGAGGAACCTCTCCGCTGGAAGTCGGGCCACGATCTTAGGGGGCTTTGTTGGGAGCGGCACCACCCCAATGGCCTGCTGGGTACCTAACTGTACAGCTCTCCCCAGATTTAAGAGTCCTAGAGAAGAAGAGTAGTGTTTGCTGACACGCCTGTGATTCTCTGGTGATGGGACTGAGGAATCACTGTGTGCTGCTCGTCTAGTAAATGAATAGCAGAGGTGGCAGCCCTGCACCCTTAGTGTCCAGCTAGCTTTTTGGTCTTGTTCCAATAGGGTTTCAAGTTTCTTTCCTTTTTGCACATTTCACTAGAACATTTACTTCTAGTGAAAAACTCAAGCACTTTGTTTTCCTATTCTAATCCTTTCACAAATCTGTCTGTATTTGAGGCATAGCTTCTTTGTGAGGTACCTAATATCTATCTTCAGGGCCACATCTGTCTTTCCATATCCAATTCCATTATCCAAAATGGCCACCCATGTCTATAGCCCCAGCGAGGTTCCCTCGTCAGTCAGCGCCCTGACACAAAAGTGACCCAGGTTCCATCTCAGGACAGTAAGACTGAAACACACTGGATTCCAGGGTAAGGTTTGGGAGCATTCCATATAGATAAATTATTTCTCTACCAGTTTGGTGAAATCATGTGGCTTGAAAAACAGATATAAGCCAATCAAATTAACCATGGTATACCAACCTATAACAGTTGCTCTCTTCCTTCTGAAAAAAGGAAAATACTCAGTGGGTTTCTTTCAAGCAGTCCTCTCTGCGCTGACGTTGATTTTATCTGCCTGGTTTTACCCTCCCGTCTGATCCTGTCTTTGCTCTCCGTCCTATCCAGGTGATAGAATGCATCACTCAGGGCCGAGTCTTGCAGCGACCTCGAACGTGCCCCCAGGAGGTCTACGAGCTGATGCTGGGGTGCTGGCAGCGCGAGCCCCATATGAGGAAGAACATCAAGGGCATCCACACCCTCCTTCAGAACTTGGCCAAGGCATCTCCGGTCTACCTGGATATTCTAGGCTAGGGTCCTTTTCCCCAGACCGATCCTTCCCAAAGCACCTCCTCAGATGGGCCGAGAGGATGAACGTCTTTTAACTGCCGCTGGATGCCATCCATCTGCTGTTCTTCACTCTGACAGCATTCACAACAGAGACACCGAGAAGCTTTCAGAGGGAAGCAGTGTGTACTTCTCCATCCGTAGACACAGTATGGACTTCTTTTTGGCATTATCTCTCTCTCTCTTTCCATCTCCCTTGGTTTATTCCCTACTTTTTTTGTTTTTTTTTTTTTTCTTTTTTTTTCGTCTTTCCTGCTTCACAGTCCTTACCCTTCCTTTTTGAATCAATCTGGCTTCTGCGTTACTATTAACTCTGCATAGACAAAGGCCTTAACAAACCTAATTTGTTATATCAGCAGACACTCCAGTTTGCCCACCACAACTAACAATGCCTTGTATTCCTGCCTTTGATGTGGATGAAAAAAAGGGAAAACAAATATTTGACTTAAACTTTGTCACTTCTGCTGTACAGACATCGAGAGTTTCTATGGATTCACTTCTATTTATTTATTATTATTACTATTCTTATTGTTTTTGGATGGCTTAAGCCTGTCTACGAAAAAGGAAAACTTGTGTTCAATCTGGGAAGCCTTTATCTATGGGAGATTAAAACCAGAGAGAAAGAAGATTTATTATAAACTGCAGTATGGGAGGAACCAAGACAACCATTGAGATCAGCTGGCGTCAGTCCCTATTTAGGAAAAACCCAGCGACTGTTAGCTGGGAGGAATGTATTCGGCACCTTCCCCTGAGGACCTTTCTGAGGAGTAAAAAGACTGTTGAACTCTGTGCCATGGATTCTTCTTTTCCATCACCAGAAAGACTAGTGTGTAGTAGAGAGAAAAGATGGCTTCCGTGAGACACAAGATGGCGCATCACACGCTCAGACAGTCTTGTCTTTGTAGATCATGGTGATAGCACAGGTTTGTTTGTCCGAGTGTTATCCACTGAGCCTTTGTCAAGTTCAGTTGAAAATAGGTGAATTCTTGTCCCGAGATCATTTCAAGGTCAGATGGGAAAGCCAAGGACTTGGAAAAGATAGGACGAGCTATAAATTCAGAGGGAAGTTTCCCTTATACTGAACTTTTCAGATAGCACTCCCCTCCAACCCCTACCCTCCACCCCACCCATCCTTTTAACTGTGCAAGCAAAAACGTGCATGGTCTTCGTCGACTAATACCTTGTGTGCAGAACTACTGCTCCAGACGTCGTGCCCCTGATATGTAGAGCAGATCCATAAGAGGTATAACTTATATCATTAGGGGAAGCTAATGGGGTTCATTAGCCGAGTATAAATGTCTCTGGGTCGTATAGTGGTGATGGGTTTTAACAAATATGGACCCTGAAGCCTGGATGTCCCCATCCACGTGGAACCCACTGTGGGACTGTGGGAACAACAGAGTCAATCCCCAAGGGAAAGGAAACCTCACTCTGGGGGCATCACACACATTGATGTTCAGTGTACACAGGCCAAGACCTTGCTCTGGGCTCTGGTTGGGAGAGTGGTTTCATTCCACGTGTACTCCATTGTCAGTATGCTGTTTTGTTTTCTTCACTCCGTTAAAAGAAGTAAAAATAAAAAATTAGGCATAGCATGCCAATCGGAGGCTATGCCCAGACAAAGCTTTGGAGGTGTGCTTCTGGGCATAGTCACAGGTTTTGCAAAAAGAGATTGTAAATTGAAATAGAAATTTACCGTTATTTGATGATGAGTTATACCAAGGAAGAAAAATATTGCTGTTCCTCAAGAAAACTTGCTACCCTCTGTGAGGGGAATTTTGCTAACTTGACATCTTTATAACACGAGCCAGATTGAAAGGGAGTGATTTTAATTCATCTTAGGTGATTTTTTTTATATTTGTTTCTGAAGGTGCAATTGCTCTGTTTAGGTTTTGCTTGTGCCCTTAATCCTGGAGCACCTTACTTTCCATTATAGGCTTTGAAAGCCAGTTCTCAAAAAATCTAAAGTGTCAATTAACTGAGAACAAAAGGAAATCCAGTAGGGTCTGTGGTCAAGTGAAGAGGGTTGGACAAGATGAACCCTAGTCCCTTCAAGTTCTGTGCTGGCCTATGAGACGTGGGAGTTGAGTTGTTTGTTCTCTTTGTAGGTGGAAAAACAACCCTCCAGAATACTCATAATAATATGACGAAAGCCATATCTCCATGATATATACCTACACGTATATATCTTATAAGGACCCATGGTACTGTTAAAACACTGTGGCGCTCTGTGAAGCGGTGAAGAAGGGGCAGATTTGTATAAAACTCTTCTAGATTCCATCAGCAATGACCTAAAAACCTACCGGGTTTGTCATTCTGCGTGACTGGCCAGCTGCTCTGGGGGAAGAAGCTGCAAGTTATTTGTTTTATTTTAACAGAGAGCAAAGGAGGTAATACTCTAGGAAATCAAATTTAAGGAGGGCTGTGCAGTTTTAGAGCAAGGCTTTGTTTAAGGCAAATGAGAAGATGGGAGCATTCCATTCCATTCCAGTGTTGTTTTCCTCTGAAGGAAAAAAGAAAAAAAAAATTTCTCTTTACCGTCTGACAAGTCCCTCAAGGTCTTGAAATAAAAGGTTCTATGCAAGCGCAAAGTTTTATAGCTATTTATATTGCTGATTATTATTATTTTTTCCCTCTGTTGTCTCAAGAGTATGTACTGATTTCAGAGAGGTCTCTCTCATTGAAAGAACACCAGATTGCTTTTAAAGTAGCTGAATGAACCACAGACTATCTTAAAATATTCCTCACTCTTCCTCCACCATCCCCTCTTCTCTTTATACTCCTCCAATTTTTAGAAAAGGAGCTTCCTCTTTCTAAAGTGTAATGATCACAGAATATGGCCTGCCATCAAATTCCTTAACAACTACAACAGTCGTAGTGACAAACCTAATTCTCTAGCCCAAACTCAGACAATCGTTTCCATTTATAAATTGTTAAATAGTTTTCCAAACACTTTTCACATATGTTAGCAAATCATTCCCATTTTTTGTAGGTGAGGAAATTGAGACTCGGAGAAGTTAAATGGCGTGCTAGAAATCCCCAGGCTAGCTTCTGGCACCACTGGGACTTACTGGAAGTATTCTGACTCTGAAGTTCATGGTTCTGTCCACTAGAGACTCTAATATGCAAACAAGCTGTCGAGGAAAGAAAGCCTGCTAACAAATTCATGAAGCAGGATGTGAAGTTAGAAGAACAAAATGGACTACATGAGATGACAAGCAACTGAGATATCGCGATATATAATCATGCTCACAGCTTCAGCTAAACACTTGTACACTGAACCCGTGTCATAATCAGGCTTATTTAGAAAACATTTTGAATTATGCTAATAAGGATTATATCAGAACTCATATTATACATATGTGTTCACATCAACGCTACCTGTGGTATTTTCATGTATTTATGTATGTGTTATAAATACTTGATTTATACATACACAAACACTCATGCATAGTGTGTTTGTGTGCTTATGTATAAATTTATAGGCACACAGTAATAGAGAAAATTATAAGTAGGGTGCAGTATGAATAATTTGCTTAAAATCTGCTAAGTAACCAAAACTTTGTAATGTCCTGTTGCTGTTAGTGCTTCCATTCTCCATGTGGGTAGGGCTACATCGCACTTTTCAACTCTGTGCAGTACTACATGGGTAGAAGACATCTTTCAGATAATGTGCTTCCCAAAACAACTGAATCCAAGCCATCTCACTATGCTGAGTCCTTTCTCTGGCTCCTTGCAAAGGAAAATGCAGACTGAAATAGATCTCCTTATGTAAAGGTCCAGGAAAGAAAAATTGATTTTCTTCATCTTTGTGCACATTTGTATCATGCTCACCTTGTCCCACCATGACCCCTTTACACCTGTGTTCAGAGTCCAAGCATTCCAGAAGAGAACTGAAATGTTGGGAGCCCAGTGTCTTGAAGGTCATTGGTGAGAATCCAAAACCCCACAGCGAGGGAGCGACTCTTAGGAATTCCCACACTCAAGCAGGAACGCAAGAAACAACAGTGCAAAATGCTGTCTTTGCAAAGAGCCGTGACAACAGGATCCCCGGTCAGGAACAGACTTTTCTTTTTCCCCTTTCCTTTTGCAAATTGGACCTTCTATGATGCCAATAACATTAAATTGTATAGCTAATGAAACATGTGACCGCATACACACATACCCTCAATTCTCTTGCTCTCTTTTTTTTTTCTTCCATTTGAGGACTTTTATTTCCAATGTTGAGCTTTGTTTTGGCCCCGTATCACTGTTAGAGAAAATCTCACGAGGGGAAAGGCCAGTGACCCAACTCCTCAGATGGCTAAATGAGCAGTTAAAGCAGTTTCATCACAATGCATAATTGTGGAATGCGGGGACTCCGAGGTTGTGATAGCAAACATCACTCTCAAGAATTAGGGGTGGGAGGGATTTGTAGTTAATATGACAGCACATGAAGAGGTATTTTCTTGTTGTCAGAGCTGGAATGAATCACTGCTGCTCAAGTCAAAGGTTCTTGAATATCCTTAGTTTTTGCATTTTTCCCCTTTCTTTTCCTTTTACATTTATTTATTTATGTATGTATTTATTTATTTCTATATGTTTTTCGCTCCATTCATCACAAACACAAAGCAAAGCAAAAAAATATATATGTGTGTATATGTGTTGCAGGCAAAACACTGTGAATTTCACAACAGCAACCAAGTAACTACTTTGCCATCTTAACATACGTCTCAGGAGACGCAATGGGAAAACATGGGGATGTCATTTTTTTTTAGTCTATGCATTTTAGGCCAGGTCTGTGTATGTTTTATTTCTTTGGTCTGTGCATTAATAAAAATGATCCTGCGTGAAGGTTGGCTGAATGTTCAACATACTGGAGCAAGCATAATAAAGCTGCTAATAGCCACATGTTTGCACTGGAAAAAGAAAATTGGATAAAATGAAATGTAAAGGCCTACATCTTGCAGCTTGTATATCTTACTATTGCTTTAAAAATGTATAAAACAGCTGGAAATGTTTTAAATACAAGGTCTTTGAATTAAATGTGGATTTTAAATATGTAATCCCTTGACAAACAACCAAATTATGGTGAAATATTGCTCCCTGCATTCACTGATCATTACCTATCACTTACAAATCTGCCTAGAGATGTGGACATTCTCTGCATTTGCTTCTGTACATGGAGAGATGTTTGTATATATCCAGGCCATACACACACACACATTTCAATATCTCTCTGAAGATATATTGCCCCTTAAATTGTGACCTGGTATTTGGAACTCTCTTTTTATTTGCTTTCTTTTTCTTTTAATGTGACGTCTCTGTGCTGATACTTACTGGTTCTTGTTTTGCAATCTGTTTTGAGGTCCATTGCTTTACTAAGACCCACTGCATCTTGGCTGATTTCAAAGTGACACCAGAATATCAGTGTTTAAAAAAAAAAAGTTTTATTTGTAAATCATGTGACCAGCTTCTCTCAACCTGACATGGAAAGTCTCTTGTACTACAGTGTATTTAATAAAAATGATGTCTTACAATAAATAACATCCTCGAAAGAGAGACCAAAAGTGACATGATGATTACTTTAAAAATGTATAGAATTTTCACAAGGCATGGTGTGCTCTTTTTTCGTCTGTCTGTATGTATGTATTTTAGATATGCCTGCAGTGCATAGAAGATGCCTGCAGTGTTCATTAGTTGAAGGCAATGAGAGTAAGTGGCCTTTGGTACAAATTCCTTGGCTGATCTCTCCATAAGCTGACACTTTCAACTTATATCTTAGAGAACCGGAACATCACTGTCCAATATAACTTTCTGCAATGATATAAATTTTCTATCTGCACTGTCCAATATGGCTAGCTGGCACTTCAAATATGGCCAGTGTGACTGAAGAACTGAATTTTAAATTTGATTTAATTTCAATTAGTTTGCATTTAAATAGCCACATGTGACTCAAGACACATGTTAGACAGCACAGAGTTAGAAGATAGAATCATCATGATTTCTAACAGATCAGATCTAAGAAACCTACCAAGAGAAATGTTGTGTATCGTGGCATCCTAGGGTTGGGCCAGTTTTGAGGATAATAATGACCCAAGAGCGGAAGCGGCCAGATCGAAAATGCCATACTCTCTTGGCCTCTCTGTTAACTAGTGTTTCCCAAATCAAAAAGGTGAGGGAGGACAAAATGAGAGTGGGGACTCATAGCAGGGGACTCATAGCCTATTTCTCAGTATCTCACAGTCTTATTTCGCAGTGTCTGACCTCTTCCCCTCAATCTCCTCTTCGAGGCCAGCAGACATCCGGACGATTCGATATTCCTGGTGGAGGCTTCAGGAACATAAAGTTGGCAGTGGACTCTCTCCACATCAAACTCCTCAGGAACTTTGCATCACGAAAACCCCTCTTACTGGTGCAGCTATGTTTTCCTTGAGTTAAAAAAATACGACCAGGTTAAACTCAGCAGGGACTTGGGGAACTTAAAGCTGTGTAAAGGAGAAAACAACTTGTCCAAAAGTCCACATAGGATCATGTGTCCCTGGGGGACCAAACTGTATCTCCTACTCAAAGAAAATGTGGATTAAAGTACGAGACTTAAACCACTGATGCCTTGGCCAGCCATAACCCAGTATGAACTATTAAAGATCCAAACTTGTACCAGACTACATTTTTATATTTCTATTATTGGTACAATTACAAGGGTATCCATTTAAATTCAAAACCTAAAGTCAAATTTCCCAGAGCCCTTGCCTGCTTCTCTGTAGACCCCGTCTAGTTTGCTCCCTTTAGTTGACCCTTAAGGATGCCTCATTTCTTGGCTGGGAACAACACTTCTGAAGTATTGTGACTAATAACCTCATTAAAACAGGCATCCTTACCTTTAGAATAAACTGACTAATAAAGCACATGCTTACTGCATGCCAGGGTCTCATGTATGTGTGTGAGTTTCCTGTTTTCCTGTGATTGCTATAACAAATTACCGCAAACTGGGTGGCTTAAAACAACAAGAATTTATTCTCTCATCGTTTTGGAGGCCAGAAGGCTGAAATGGAGGTGTCGGCGGGGCCACACTCCCTCTGGAGATTCTCAGGGGGAATCTGTTCCTTACCTGTTCAGGCTCTGGTGGCTCCAGATGTTCCTTGGCCTGTGGCCACAACTCTCCATTCTCTGCCTCCATGTCCACATTGCCTCCTCCTCTCCATGCACCCTCTCCTCTGTATGTCTGTCTTATAAGGATGCATGTGATTGCATTTAAGGCCCACCTGCATAATCCAGGACAAGCTCCTCCTCTCAAGATCCTTACTCACCTCTTTTGCCTTATAAGGTCACATTCACGGGTTCCAGGGATTACCTCGTGGGCATATCTTTTTGAAGGCATCATTCAACCCACTATGGTATGTTAACTCACCCAATTCTTACATCAACCCTGGGAGGTAGGTACAGTTTACAGATGAGAAACTGAGGCACTGAGAGTTAAGAAACTTGCCAAAAGTTGTCAAAAGAAATTGACCAGTAAATATAGTAGTTACTATCTGCCAGGGAGGTGGTTGTTTAATCCTCAAAACAAGGGACAAACTCAGGGGGTTCTACTCCAGATTCTCTAGGTGTTTCTAACATGCAGCTAGGGTAGAGAAACATTGTTCAAGGGGATAGCAAGGCTCAGCCCCAGAATTTCAACCATCCAAATAGAAACGTCTGGCGCTAAATCTAGGACTTGACTCAGCAGAGAATGGGCCAGACAAAGGGCCCAGAACTTTAGTTCATGAATGCTAGAAGGAGCACTAGATAGGTTTGAAAAGCAGATCATCAGTATCCAAGGAGTTGAGTAGTAAACTACATGTTCTCTCAGAAAATAAGTTTCCTGCAAAGCCCACAGAAACCAGCTATGGCCCTGTGCTTCAGGCAATCAGTCAATCAATCAGTCCTGATCAACTAAAAGGCTGGGACTCCAGCTCCCCATCATGCCAGAAGAACAGCTGGTGGTTCTCCAACCATGGATTCTGATGAAGATCATCCTGCTGCTAGCTTGCTATAACATGCAGAGCAGCCACAAGGCTTGGACCTAGCCCGTGACCATGAAAACTGAGCTGGCAGGACCCACTGGAGTTGAAGTTCTGTCATATTGCTATTAAATGCTAGCCCAAGGTCACTGCAAGGGAGGGGCCGGTACTTCCTTAATCACACAACTTAAAAGTCCCACAGCCTCAAGGTCAGGATTCCTCTTCAGGAGTCTAAATTCAGTCCTACCAGATTGTTGTGTGCAATCTCAGTGAGTAATAGGCAACTGAACTGGGAACATACATACCAGCTGATTCTGTCCCCATGAGTCTTTCCCCAAATCATGATACTCCAGCAGGTCTGCTGTATGTACTATTTAGCCATTTGCCCTTGTTTGCATGGCAATATTGTAATTTTTATTTATTAGGTTTTTTTTGTTGGCCATTTCCTACACCTAGAAGGTAAGGTTTATACAGGAAGAGATTTCAGTGTCTTTAGTTCACTGTCTAGGAAGACTCCCAACATATAGGTGATGCTCAATCATTTTTGAATGAATGAATGGATGAGTGAATAGATGAATGAATGGATGGATTAATAGATGAATGAATGGATGCATGAATGTTAAAGTGTTGAGAGAAGAAGTCAGCAAACTAGGCAGGCAGTTATGGTAGACTGATGCTTAGAAATAGGGAGTGTGACCCTAGGCAAGTCATTTTAACCTTCCTAAACTTCTGAGTTCTCGTTTATAAACTATCTAATATAGAGTTTTTATCCAGGTTCAGATGAGCTAATCCATGCTTTGAAACCATAAAATTATTAGTATAAATGACTTCAAATGTTCCCACATGAAAAGAGAGCAATTTTTCTCCCTGACTCAGTTTGGAGACCCCAGACAAGCCTCAGGAAGAAGCAAGGCTACCATGAGTGAAAATAAAAATGGCTAGGTTTTTATTTTCAAGTGGACAACTGAGTTACCATGCAGTTTCCCTTAAAAAAGAATCCAGATCTTCAGAAGTAAGAGGAGTCCCTTGGAGAGGGCTCCCTCCATGCTCGCTGGAAATTGGACAACTATACCAAGTGAAAAAGCGTAAAAGTAATTTTGGGGCATCTTTAGGATGATGGTTATGTTTGTTCAATTCAGCATGACCAGGAAACTTTTCTATAGTAGACTTTTAAAAACACTTTGCAAAGTTATTTAATACTTTCTTAGTTCAGGGACAGAACTTCTTGGAGACAAATTGTGGCACTTCTGGCTTTGGGGTGGAGGGGTGAATATGGATCAGAATGGTTCTCCTGGATCTCCTATAGCACCACAGATTCATAAGGTTGGAAGGGCTATAGAGGGCAATCCTGCAGACATCCTTGCCAGGGGGGTCCAGCCCTAGTGAGAGGAAATTTATTTGAACTTCTCTCGCCCTCCATCCTCTCCCACATGCACAGTCCATTTCATTTTGCGAAGCCTCCCTAGCAAGCACTTCCTAGTGCTGAACAAATATCTGCCTCCTCAGAACTGGTGCCCATGGGCTCAGATCTCCTGGGAGTGCACAAAATAACTCTCATTCATTATTACTTGGCATCCCTTTATGACTCCCTTGTGCTCTTCCTCCCACATCCATCCCCCTACAGAAAACTCGGGCGCGCTTGCCAAATGACTAGGAGAAAGGGCAAGGAAGCCAGCACTGCCTGGTAAACCTAATGCCCAGCCCACAGCTCCCTGCTTATTCCTTCGTCGCGGCACTTCACTTTCCCCACCTGTTCTCCAGGCTTCAACTCATTTTCATAACAAGGAAAAAGTAAATTTTTAAAGAATCAGAAAGATTAAAAGTGAGGTATGTCTCCTCTTCTCCACTGATAAAATAATTTATCAGTGGTGCCTGGACAACCAACAGAGCTCCTCACAGCCCTTACACTGGGGGTCCATCCAAAATCTTTCTGGGTCTGTTAATAACAAGGAAAACAAGAGAGTGTGGATGTTACATGGGATAGTGAGCTTTGCCATCTCTGATAAGAGAGGAAAAAAGGTGGAAGGCGTTGTTTATTTGCCTGCGTAGCGAAGGGTGGGGGGTGTTTGCTAACCTAAAGATAGCCTTAATTTTATTTGTTTTTCCTAAGGAACATCTGCTTGTACAACGATTAGGCACTGGCATTCATTAACACAGGAAGTAAAGTGTTTGAGGTTTGTGTCACTGGGAGTGTTTGAGAACAAAATAAGACAGACACTCGTGGGAGTGATTTGAGAGCATTTTTCACACTGTGCAGAGGTTCAGCCTAGGAGAATGTCTAGTACTCAGGGGGTGCGGTTGTCGAGAATTCAGTTATCTCTAGTAATCGGGGGTCACTCTCCCTGGAACCGTGGGATAGGATGGACGATGGACGACACTGACCACGTGTATGTGCCATGTGAAAGGATACTTAAGGAGGGGCCTAGTGGCAGCAGCATCTCAGAAAATGCTTGCTGAATAAGTGAATAAATTTCTCAGGCACGCAGTGAAAAGAACGCAGAACATTCTGTACACACTTTCCACATTCCAGAGGGTATTTACATCTAATATGGCATTTTGCCT